AGTACAGCACACACACACACACACACACACACACACACACACACACACACACACGTACACGCATGTAATCAGCAGACGTGATGGTGAGAGAGGTGAGTTCAGAAAGCTGATGGAAGAGAATAAGCGTTCGTTCTTTCAGTCACGCACACACATACCCACATCAAAGTACACTACATTGCATCACATCACGCATACACACACACACACACACACACACACACACACACACACACACACACACACACACACCTCCTGGATGTGCTGTGCGATGAAGACGACGTAGACGCAGACGAAGCCAAACTGGGTGACCAGCAGCGCAGCGTTGACAATCATGATGCCGGCCCGCCCAATCGCGTGCTCGGCCTGATGGCAGTGATGACGGTGGTGGTGGTCGTCGTCGTGATGTGGGATGATCACGTGGGTGGCGGGGACGGGTGAAACAGAGGACGATTGCATCAGCGTGTAAATACTGACGACTGCAAAGGAGGCGTACAACACACACATGCACACATGCACACATGCACACATGCACACATGCACACACAGACGCACACGCACACACATGCACACATGCACACATGCACACATACACACATGCACATACACACGCATGCACACACATGCACACACGCACCAGTTGACCGTAGGAGAGGCGGGTGATTTTGTTCTCGGCGCACACGTGCTGCTTCGTCTTGACGAGCAGCAGCATGCAGTGCACACAGATGGACGCAATAAATGCCAGCAGCGCCGTCCCGCCCTGTACACATGTGTGTCATTCAACAAGAACGTGAGCGGCAAACAGCAGTCCAACAAACTAGAAATAACACACACACACGCAGACGCGCACACACACGCAGACACACACACACACATCCACACACACACACACACACACACATTCACACTCGCAGACACACACACACACACATTCACACTCGCACATACACACACACATTCACACTCGCAGACACGCGCACATACACACACACATTCACACTCGCAGACATGCGCATACACATACGCAGACACGCACGCACCACGTAGCCGCCCTGGGCAAAGGCGAATGGAAGGCTGAGGAACCCGGCACAGATGTTGCCCTTCAGGAAGTTGATCAGCGTCTCGGTGAAGCTGTTGCATGTGTGTTGGCCAGAGCATGCACGCGCGCAGGGTGGGTGAGTGTGGCACACAGCACAGACTAGTCCATGTGTGCATGAGCACGTGTGTGTACGTGTGCGTGTGTACATGTGTGTGTGTGTGTGTGCGCGCGCGTGCGTGTGTGTACATGTGTGTTTGCAGGAGCAGGTTGCATTGTGTCACGAACCTGGTCATCTTGGTGCCGACATGGTGCTGTTTCAAGCGCGCAAAAAGAGGCACATCGCATTCACTTGATGAGCGTACAGTGTTGACACGGACCGGCAGTCTGCCAAGTGAGACACACACACACACTCTCTCTCTCTCTCACTCACTGACACACTCACACTCACACACTCACATACTCACACACTCACACACTCACACACTCACACACTCACACACTCACACACGCACTCACGCACTCACTCTCTCGCACTCGCTCACTCACTCACTCACACTCAAAGCATGCGCACGCACAGTGGGCTTACCGGATCGAGCTCCTCAATCGTATCCTCGCTCTCGTCCCCTTGGCGGGACACAGAGCTGATGAGAGGCTGTGAGTCATCGTCGCCACCACCGCCATAGTGCTGCTGCTGCTGCTGCTGCTGCTGCTGATATGGGGTCTGGATGGACGCACCCCCTGTCCCAGTCCCAGACAGCAGCGCGTTGCCTTCGTCCTGCGACATCCCCTTCGTGCTTTTCCTTCCTTCTTCGCTTGCTTTGCTTTGTTGTTGTGGCTTATTTGTGGCTGTGAGTATCTTTGAGTGTGACTTGGCTGGCTGCCTGACGTTGGTTGGTTGGTTGGTTGGCACGTTGATGGAGTGGTGTTGGGTGGTGTTGGAGATGGAGGTGCAGTTGTTGTGTGTCTTTGAAATGATCTCCTTCTTCTTCTTCGCTTCTTCGTCTTCTTCCTTTCAACTGCAAAGGCAAATTTGACATTGCAAAGGCAATTTTGCCTTTGTCGCAGCCGCACAAACAACAACAACGCACAAACAACCACCAAGAAGAGGCCTGTTGTTGTTTTGGGGCGTTGTGCTTGAGCTGGGCTGTCTGTGTCTGTGTTGTCTCCCTTCACGCTCGATACAGACGCATACAGACGCACAGCGCTGTTGTTCAACGACAATGGCACGGGTGCACTTGATGGCACCGGTGTTGGTGCTGCTCACGCTGTTGCTGGCAGCGACCCCATCTCAGGCACAAAACTGCAGAGGCATCGACGAGCTGTGCGACGAATGCTCGTGAGTGCGCGCAGACTTGTGTGCGCTTGTATGTGTTGGTCTCTCCTCATCGCGCTCGGCTTCCTCGCTTGCCGCCCTTGCTTCGGCTTCGCTTTCATGCTTCACGTGCCCCTTTGGTTGTGCATGGCTGTGCATCCCTTGCTGTTGTTGTTGCTGTTGCTGTTGTTGTTGCTGCCGTTATTGTGAGTGATTCTCCATGCGTTTTGGAGCGCGCAAAACGCTGGCCCGCACCTTTGCACCTTTACATAGTTGCGCCTTCGCACTTGCTCCGTCGCAACCCACTCACTCACCCCCTCCCTCCCGCTTCGCCATGTTCTTCTTCTGCCACAGAGGTGGTGATTGCGAAAAGTGTGCAGACCCCTACTTCCTGCTGGACAACACGTGTGTGGAATCCTGCGACCAGGACACGGAGCAAAAGTACTACATTGTCGATGGTGTTCGCTGTGACCGCTGCCACATATCATGTGACTCCTGCACTGGCCCAACATCAAGCAACTGCGTCAAGTGAGTGCCATATGTACGTGTCTGTGTCTGTCTGTGTGTCTGTGTGTGTGTGTGTGTGTCTGTGTGTCTGTCTGCGTCTGTCTGTGTGTCTGTGTGTGTGTGTCTGTGTGTCTGTGTGTATGTGTCTGTGTCTGTCTGTGTGTGTGTCTGTGTGTCTGTGTGTATGTGTCTGTGTGTCTGTGTGTGGTTGTTCGCCTGATTTGCATCACCACCGTTGCTGCATGGCTGTCTGTGCCTTCTTGCTGTTGGTATAGCTTGCCAACAAGACTTGAAGCACACGAACCATTCACACGAACCATTCACACGATCCACATGTTTCCAACTCCCTCCTCATCCCTCCCCACTTCCTCTCTCCTTTCTCCTCATCCTTCCCCCGCCCCCACCTTCATCCTCACCCTCCTCGTTGCTCCCTCCATCCCGCCACCTCACAACCCCCAAACCCGAATCCGCCGCTCCCTGCACAACCACAACAGGTGCAAGCCCAGCTATGGGTATCTGTACCGAGGGTCGTGCATTAGCACGTGCCCCGTGACCACGTATCCGACCGGCACCATCAACGACGTCAAGGGTCTGCAGTGCATGTCGTGCGACGACGGGTGCGGACGGTGCAATGCAACCACGTGCATCGCGTGCGATAAGGGGTACTACAAGCAGGCGTCCGTGTGCGTGCGTGCGAGCCAGTGTGCAGATGGCAGTGGCCCCATTGATGGCAGCGACCCCAATCTCGGTGGCACCTGTGTGCCGTGCGCAGACACAACGCACTGTCGCACATGCGACGGAAGGGGTGCTACCGACTGCACGCTCTGCGATGCCGACACGTTTCTGCAAAATGGCACGTGCGTGTTTGCGTGCAACGCCACATATGCGCTTGACAGCACAGGACGCGAGTGCCTTCCCTGCAACACGTTTGAACCCGGCTGTGACACGTGCACCGCCCTCTCATCACCACCATCATCATCGTCGTCGTCGTCATTGCCGAGCTCGCAGAACGTGACGTGCACGCGGTGTTTGGGCGGGTTTTATCTCGACACCACAAGTTCACTCTCGTCCGCTGCCTCCCCCACGTGCCGGGAGACGACCAAGTGCAATGCGTTTGAGAAGGCAACGGTCCAGGCCACGCGCACCACGGACGCCGTGTGCGTATCGTGCGTGCTGTGCAGTGCTGGTACTTACGCAAGCAACGGCTGCCAGACGGTGAAAACCCGTACAACCTGCGACGCGTGCACTGCAACGTGCTCCAACGAGGGCGAGATCCTCGCTGGTCTGTGCACCCCGACCACATCGCCAACCTGCACATCACCATCATCATCATCATCATCATCATCACTTGTACCGCCAAACGGGTACACGTACATTGACACGACGTTCACGCTGTCTGGCTTCACCAACGCCAGCACCGTTATTGGCAGCGTGACTGCAGACATGACAAGCGCCATCTACGCTGCCTCGCCCTTCTTCTCGCTTGACGTCATCGTGCCTGCAAGTACGACAACAACAACGCCAACAGCAGCTGTCAACGGCAACGGAGCCAGCGCCCTCACTGGCGCTGCTGCCGACGCGACAAACGACGACGATAATGTCAATGATGATGATGATGATGATGGTACGAGTGGCAATGGCTCCCAACAGCAACAGCAAGAACAGCAACAGCGGCTGGTGGCGGTGTACGATGCCACGTTGCTGACCACCACATCGCTTCGCGTACACGTGCGCGCGAGTGTGCCGACAACAGACATGGCTGATGCGCGTGCGGACTTGCTCTCGTTTGCCATCACGCAGCCCTTTCAGCAGCTGCTAGCCAATTTGCCGTCGGCGTATGCGTCCATGTTTCTAAACGTGGACACGCCCACCTCCACCACCACCGACATTGTGCCGCGTGACGTCAGAATCGCCAACACGACATCAAACTCCATCCGCATCGAGTGGACGCATGTTCCGGCCGCCGCACCCGTGCGCGTGCCGCGTGCGTATGTCGTACACGTGGTGCGCGAGTCTGTGGGAACGCGCCTGTCCTTCCAGACGACCCAGTCCTACATGGTCCTCTCGCGGGATCTGTTCCAGCTGACGGCGGGCGAGTACGAGGTGGGCGTGGCCGCTGTCCTTGCCGACGACCAGGACGCAGCCATCGGGCCCGTGGTGCTTGCAAGCACGACCGTGCCCACGTGCGACAGCAACTGCTTGGAGTGCACGGCGACGGCATGCGTGTCATGCAACACCACGCAGGGCCTGGTCCCCAGCGGCACCACGTGTGTGTCCGCCTCAACCGCCAACACAGGGTTCTGCGTGTCCCTCGGCAGCAGCGAGCTGTGCGGCGTGGCGTTTGTGTTCACAATCATCGGCCTCGTCATTGCGGTGCTGCTGCTCATCACCGCCATCTACTTCCTGTGCACGCGCACGGCCGTGCAGCAGAAGCGGGACGCTGCGGAGTGGCGGCAGTTTGAGCTCGTCGACGTCAAGTACCTGCCAAAGTGGTCGCAGGAGGACCACGACACCCGGTGAGCAGTCGTGGTGGTGGTGGCGGTGGTGGCCGGGGGGGGGAGAGGGGAGAAGAGGAATGTCGTGCAGCGATGAAGGATAGGGTGTGCAAGACCTGTCTTGGGGGGGGGGTTTTTTTTTTCCGTGTGCATGTATGTACCGATCTGTGTCTCACTCACCTCGTACCACCTCTCGTCATCACCATGACCATCAGCGCCGGTCTGTCTCAGTCGCAGCCGCTGTCGCTGCCGGAGCTCGAGAAGGCGCTCTCAGCACAGGTGATGGATGGGCTGAGTGTTGTTGTTGTTGTTGTTGTTGTTGTGTGTGTGTGTGTGCGTGTGTGTGTGTGTGTGCGTGCGTGCGTGCGTGTGTGTGCGTGTGTGGTGCGTTGAACCCACGGACCAGATATCAATGGCTGTGTAGCCGTATTCATGCTCCGCCGACCAAGACCTCACAACACCACCGAACCACCACCCGCCATTACCTCACCACCGCCAGGTTGACCTGACTACGGAGTACGAGTCCATCCCGCTCAACGCTGCGGATATGGACGAGATCCCGCCCGCGTGCATGGCCAAGAACAGATTTGTCACTGTCCTCCCAAACAGACACACCCGCGTGCCCCTCAGCGCAAAGCCAGGGTATGATGTTGTGTGTGTGTGTGTGTGTGTGTGTGTGTGTGTGTGTGTGTGTGTGTGTGTGTGTGTGTGTGTGTGTGTGTGTGTGTGTGTGTGTGTGTGTGTGTGTGCGTGTGTAGGCTTGCTTTGCCTGTCACTCCTGTTGTCAACAGCACCCTCAGCCTTGCCTCACACTCATTCACGCAACTTCACACTCACACTGACACACTGACACACACACACACACACACACACACACACACACACTGACACACTGACACACATTAACGCATCAGGAGCGAGGACGGTGCTGATTTCATCTGCGCGAATTTCGTGCGCAGTTTCAACGACGACACACACGCGTATATCCTCACGCAGGCGCCCATGAATGAAACAGTCGAGGTGGGGTCAAGCCCCTTGTGATGAGAATATGATGATGATGATGATGATGATGATGATGATGATGATGATGATGATGATGATGATGATGATGATGGTGATGAAGATCGTGCTTGTGTGTCTGTGTTTCTGTCTCTCCGTCTCTCTGCGCACGTTTTTTCCCTCCTCCTGTCTTCCCGAACTTACATTTATCTCCCTCACTGCTGCCTGTTTCTTCCCCCCCCCTTCCCACACACACACAACACACACACACACAACACACACACACAAATAGGACTTCTACCACATGCTGTGGGACCGCAAGGTGTCGTGCGTGGTGATGATGTGCCGGCTGGTCGAGAACGGGTCTGTCGTGTGCCCGCGCTACGTGCCCACGCGCTCGCACAAGTGGAGCAAGATTGCGGCGCCGACAACAGACGGCCTGCTGGCAAACAGGTCCCGCGTGCTTCGCTTTGGTCGCTTCTCTGTGCGTCTGATCAAGGAGACGACAAACGAGGTGTTCACCATGACGCGTCTCAAGATCTCAAACCGCGCCGTCGGCACGCGCACGCTCACCCACCTCGCCTACCACGTGTGGCCGGACGCCACGAAGATATCCGTCACTGCCAAGGACCTGATTGCGTTTGTGCGGCTCATTCGCACCGTGCACCGCCAGCACTCGTCCCCGCTCGTCGTGCACTGCACCTCTGGCGCCGACCGGGCTGCGTGCGTGGTGGCCACGGACATGATCATGCGGCAGTGCGACTACGCCGGCGTGGCAGATGTCCTCGGTGCCGTCTGTCGCATTCGACAGGACCGCGGCGCCACATTCTCAAACGCGGTATGTGTGTCTGTGTGTCTGTGTGTGTGTGTGTGTGTGTGTGTGTGTGTGCGTGTGTGTGTGTGTGTGTCTGTGTGTCTGTGTGTCTGTGTGTCTGTGTGTGTCTGTGTCTGTGTGTGTGTGTCTGTGTATGTGTGTGTGTGTCTGTGTGTCTCTCTGTGTGTCTGTGTCTGTGATTGTGTGTGTCTCTGTCTCTGTCTGTATCTCTGTCTGTGCAGATTGAAATCCACTGCTTGTGGCCTTTCATTCGCTCACTTGTTTCACACCCATCACCACCCATCAACCACACACGGCAGGCGCTGTACGGGCTGCTGTATGACGTCGCTCTCACATATCTCCGCATGCGAAAAGATGACGCACCAGACGCACACAAGACAAACCCGGCCTTTGAAGGGTGAGAACACAGTGCTTGTTATGTCTTTGTGCGTGTGCGTGTGTGTGTGTGTCTGCCTGTCTGCCTGTCTGTCTGTCTGTGTATGTCTGCGTCTGTCTGCACCTTGGTGTGCATGATTGCCCTTGCTATTCCCCACCCCTGCTCACACCCATCACCGCTGCCAGCATGTCAACTGCGCTGTCGCCGAGTGCTGAGCGCCGACCGTCATCGCTCATGGGGTCATTCGGTACGAGATACCACCTGTTACTATGGCTGCAATTGTTGTCCGTGGTCGTGATTGTTGTCTGCGGTCGTGGTCATGGTTGTGGGCTGCAGTGGCTGGGTTGTACCCCCACTGCATACACTCACTCACGCTACGCTACACTACACTACACTACACTACACTACATCCGCACGCCAACGCTCGCTGCTCAGACAACCTGGTTGATGAGCATGACGGTGACACTGCGACGACGACAACAGCGATGACAATGACGGGTGGTGGTGATGCGGCACACACGTTTGCATTCTCCTCCGACACGGACACCCAAGATGGCGACGGTACCAGGCAGCAGCAGCAGCAGCAGCTGTCCATCAGGAGCAAGATGAAGCAGCGCACGCGCCACCGCAATGGCAGCAGACGAAGTGGTGGTGGCGGTGGTGATCGGAGCAGGAGGGGTAGCGATGATACTCGCTTGTCGACACAGGCGGGCGCACAGCTCTCACGGCGCGGCAGCAAGCGAAGCACAAGCAGCCGCAACAGCAAAGGCAGCCGCAACAGCAGCAGGGGCAGCAAGGGCAGCAAGGGAAGCAAAGGGAGCAAGCGCAACAGTCGACGTGGTAGTCGACAGGCTGTGGAGGAAGAGAACTCCCTGGACGAGGATGACACGGATGGCCTGGAGGGCGTGGTTGTCGTTGGAGAAGAGGGGCGGAGCTCTCGCCGGGCGAGCGGGCAGGACGAGGTGCTGCAGAACGCGTTGCTTGCAAGCATTCGCGCGGACGCCGAGCGGGAGCGTGCGGCCTTTCTCCGCGAACAGCTTGCGGTTGTGCAGATGCAGCGGGAGGCAGCAGAGCAGGCCTCGCTCGTCGGGGACGT